AACCTGTTATATATAATTAACATCTCCCCAACGCAAAAATACATCATAAAAATTCTGTTTTGTTTGAAATAAATTGAATGTGGTTGTACTTTGGAATTCTTGGCCCTTCTGCGTTGTTTAATACCTGTTTGTATTTTGGTTTGAGACTTAGATAAATAAAACAAAATTAAGAATAAAAGAAAAAATAAAGAATCATAAGAAGAAGGAAAAACAAATAAATTTAAACATAGAAAGAAAAAAAGAAAGCATAAAATAAAGAGAGAATAATAATGATAAGGAAATAAACATAACAATAGTTTTTAATAAATACATTTAGACATAGAAAGAAAAAGAATATTAGTAAGAGAAACAAGATGATACGTGACTTCGCCGATAAACTTAAAAGGGTTAAATTGGATCGCAGAGGGACATTTCAAACTCTGACTTTGTTGAGGCAGGATCATGGAAACGTATTTAAAGTCTCTCTATTACGACATTGACCGCGAAAGCGGTTTGAGTAGCGCAAACAGGTTGTATTGCGCCGCCAAGCAAGATGGAAAGTACAATATTACCCGAAAGCAAATTCAAGACTCTCTTCGAGGACAGGATGCTTACACGCTCCATAAACCCGCCAGAAAAAGATATCCCAGAAATAGAATGACGGCTCTGGGTCGGGATGAAATCCATCAGTTAGATCTGGTAGACGTGTCTAATTTATCCAAGTACATAGAGGCGTTATATACTTGCTGACTTGGATCGACGTATTTTCCAAATACGCCAGGGTTATTCCGTTAAAAAATAAATCGGGCAAGGCGCTGTGAATGCTTTCAAGACCAATGTCAGATCTAGCGGCCCGTGATGATTTACACTGATAAAGGCAGTGAATTTACCAACTGTCCGTTCCAAGAAATGCTTAAAACGGAATGGATACATTTCTATACGACCAACAGCGAGGTCAAAGCATCCGTTGTGGAGAGACTCAATGTGGCGGTAGTTTATGTGGAAAAACACGTTGAAATACATCGACGTCTTGGGGCCACCGGTGAAGGCCTACAACCATTCGCACCACCGTACCATTCGAATGAAGCCCGCGGAAGTCAACGGCGCGAATGAAAGCGTTGTTTGGAAACGTCTGTATGCGCCGCCCAAGCCACCAGCTAAATTTCGGTTTAAAGTGGGGGATAAGGTTCGAGTCAGTAAACGGCGGCTGACCTTTCAAACATCCTACCTCCCATCCTGGACCGAGGAGATATTTACAATAGCCAAATGCAGTGGGCGGCAAACAAGACCCGTGTACGCATTAAAAGATTATAACGGTGAAGCTATTCGCGGTTTGTTTTACGAGGAAAATTGCAAAAGGTTTCGAAAAACCGACGAGATGTGCCGAGTGGAGAAAGTGACCCGGAAGCGCAGGAGAAAGGGAAAGACCGAGTATTTCGTTAAATAGTTGGGGTCTCCGTCGTTCAACAGTTGGGTGACGGACCTGCAGTCGTAAGGACGCTGCCAAGTAATTCATCTGTGTCACTTTACCTGAACAATACCCTGTCCAGTTACACCACGCACCTGGTCAAACAAATTAATCTGGCCGGACACTGGGAGGTTGCCCTGACCGAGATTCATTATCCTTTTACGTGGTACAATATAACGGACAACAATAATTCGTTCCGGTACAGCGAACGCGCCGAGTGCAAACGCACGTTAGATTATCGCACGGTTTTACACATCTGTGCAGGAAATCATAGATGCCATCAACGCCGAAATGACGGACGCGGCTAAACGTAATATCGTCACCACCTTGGACAGGTACAAGTAGAGATAGAAGTCCGAGAGGGGGCGCATTTATTTTGACGATTATTTGTATCGCATGTTGTGATTAAAATACAAGAAAGTGCGCGAAAACCTGGAAGGGCATTTACCCGTGGATGTGAATGGAGGATTCAACGGTATGTACGTGTACTGCGACATTGCTGAAAACCAGCTAGTGAGAAACGTTAGCGCGCTCTTACCGAGAATCGTCCCCTTGCAAAAGTCTGGTGTCACTCAGGGCGATGACATCGCTCACACCTTCAGCATTCCCAATGGGGCATGCTGAAGGTGTGAGCGAGGTCCTTATATCCACCCGGATCGTCTCAAAGTGTTTTCGTTTGACGGGCACGTAATGACGTGCCCGTCAAACGAAAACACTTTGAGACGATCCGGGTGGATATAAGGACCGACACGGGAGGGAAAGTGCCATTTCAACGCGGGAAACTCACCATTACGCTTCATTTTCGTAAAAGTCGTCCCTCTTTTTTTTGAGCAGTCATGGTGGACTACGTGAAATATTACAAAAATCAGGCGGAGGTGGAGATAATTATCTCAAAGGTGCCCCGTTTAGAAGGGATACGGACAGGGCAATATTTTAGGAGGACTGTTCAGATCCGCTTTACCGATGATCAAACAAGGCGCCAAAATGTTAGGCGAGGGAGCATTGAAGACCAGGGTAGGAATTGTCGCTGATACCCTCAACGGACAGAATGTCAAGACAGCCGCGAAGAAACGGGTGAAACAGGCTGGAAAGAAGATGACGTCACAAGTCATGCAGCGACTCTCCGAGCAATCCGCCTCCCAGGAGAAAGGTTTAAAAAGAAAAGCACCCGGCACATCAGGCAGAAAGGCTCGGAGCAAGCGACCGAAGAGGACCCCTGACATTTTCGATTAACAACAGTGTACACCACAATGGCATTCATCAGTAAACATTCGTGCGAATGCACAAGGTCCGAACTGGATCTGATTCCGTCCTGCCCACTCAGACCTCCGTTTTGAAAGGGCAATGGGCACAGTACAACTCACTGACCAATATCGTCGACTCGGACTCTATAAAATTTAACGTCACCGGGGCACACACCCTGATCAACGTCACAATTAAGATGGTCAATGAAAATGGCGCCGACCTGGGCGAGGATGTCCCTGTCGCTCCCGTGAATCTACTGCTTCACTCCCTGTTCTCCGAAGTGGCTGTCACGCTCAAAGACAAACTCGTTTCGTCTTCCTCCAACACGTACCCGTACCGAGCCCTGCTGGAAACCCTGCTCACTTACGGACCACCGGCCAAGGCACTGCAGCTGACAGCCGCCCTACTGTTTTACAAAGATACGGCGGGAAAAATGGACTCAGACGATCCAACCGCGGAAGAACATTTTAACGAGAGATTAAAGCGGAGATACAAACTGTCGAAGGAGAGCCGTATTATCGATATGTTTGGACCGATTCACGGAGACATATTCTTTCATGACAGATTTTTACTTAACGGTTTCAACCTGAAGCTCAAATTTCATCGCAGCAAAAACAGTTTCTGCTTAATGCCGGCTCTACCGGACACTCACTACAAAGTAAAGATAATGGAAGCTTCTCTTTACGCGAGAAAGGTGGTCGTCAGTCCCACCGTGGCTCTAGCGCACGCCCAAACCTTACTGAGTGCTACGGCCAAATACCCGCTGCGCAGAATAGTGGTAAAGACTTTTCTATTCCACGAGGAAATTAACCTTTTACCCGCGAAAATCTGTTTCTGGGGCAGATCCTCCGGCGCGTGGTGATTGGCATGGTGGATAACGCGGCCTTCAACGGCGACTATCATAAAACCCCCTACAACTTTAAACATTACGGCCTAAATTACCTTGGACTGTACGTGGATAACCAACAGCCGTGGCGACCTCTTCAACCCAAGACGAAGACGAAGCGTACATGATGTCCTATCAGACTTTGTATTCCGGTATAAATACCCTGTTTCGAGACAATGGCAATCAGATGAACAGGGAAGACTACGAGTCGGGATACTCCCTCTTTTTTTAAGAGTCCTCAAGGGGGACAGCGTGACCTCCCGTGACGCGCTTGGTGTGTTCCCGTCGGATAGGTTACCGCCCGTGACTAAATACCCCAGCGCCCTCATCGTAAACGCCGACGAGAGCAATCGACCGGGCACCCACTGGCTAGCGATGTACTTTACTAAGGACGGAAAGGCACAATTTTTTTTACTCTTACGGACTTTCACCGGACACTTACGGGCAACATTTTCAATCTTTTTCACGCCAGAATAGTACGCAGTACGCGTATACTACAGTCTGTTTACAATCTTCCACCACGACAGTTTCCAATCTTCCACCACGACAGTTTGTGGTCAGCACTGCCTAGTTTACTTGTTGCACCGTTGTAGGGATATATCCATGAGAGCTATTGTGTCTGTCTTCACGGATGACTGCCTCGTCAATGACGTGACGGTGCAGGATTTTATAGAAAAGAAATGAAATGTCGATGTACCCGTGTTAGAGTTACAGTTTATTTGTCGTCAAATTTGTGTGAAGAAAACTTAAATCCAAGACTTGAAAAAAAACCAACTCTTTAATGCCATGATAATAATTTCGAGTAGTTTCGTACTTAATAACGTCGCGTAGTTTATTAGTGTCAGTTAGTTTAAGCGAGTCAATGTTAGTACTTACAAGCCTGTAAAGAAAAAAAAGTCAAACAAATCCTACTTTTCCGTTGTCCTCTTACATCATTTATTAATTCATCGTAAATAAACTACAGTTCAGTGACAAAGTCAGTTTTTTAAAGTGTACAATCATTTACCGAGTTAAAAACTAAAGATCCTCCCCCGTCCTTGGAAAAATTTGTGCTACATGAAATAAGCTACAGCGCTTACAACGTGTCCCAATAAAGTTTTTTCCTGGATTTTAACGGAGTGGACACAACACTAAGGCGCCTTCGAGAGGGAATGGGTGGAGGGGATGTGGAAATATCGGGAAGTAATCTTTTTTCCTCCGGTCCCATTTGTTTGTACTTTCTAACGACGTTGCGCTGTGCTTCATTACATTCCCACTGTATTAGTGGGAAAGGTCTCGGGCGCGTAGAATTTGGCCAGTCCACGCACAAAGTACTGAAATCCGTAAGGAGAGAAACCCTTTTTACTCTTTAAAGCGTCATTCACCAGATTGATAATATTGGAACCCTTGACAGCATTTCTTTCATAAACCAGTTCACCCTTTAGGTTCCAAGTCATGACGTCATTATGCTTTAGGCTGTTCATAAGCAGTTTGGCTTTGCGCTGTAAGGTTTTAGGCAGATTCGAGAAAATTTACGGTGTTAGGTCGTCCTCCTTGGTCAGTGTCGCGGGGTTTCCGTCCGTCGTGCCGCCCGATGGCTCTTGGTCCCCAGCCCTCTGCCGAATCCCTCCGCCGGTGTAGACATCGTGACAGACATGGGTTTGGATTCACGGGCGTGATCATATCGAAGATACTGTTGCAACGTTTGCTGGTACAGCGACAATTTAGCGTCGTCGGGAAGGTCTGTTCTGGCCAAAATGTCTTTCATGACCTGCTCCAGACTCTGTAGTTTATTCTGCGTGGGGTTATGCGAGAATAGAACATTCTGTATGGCTCTTGTCACGCTGTCCGTGGGGGTGCTGATCATGATTTTTTCGGGCGTGTTTCATCACTTGGAAAACAGTACCCCGCTGAGCGTACTCAAGATTGGAGCCAGTAAGTGTCCCAGAAATATACCCAGCAAGAAATAAGACCGAGGGGTACCCCCCAACATGTCCAATCCCTATACACATTCCAGATTATTGTTACTTAACACATCCCCCCAAGATGTCTAAATGGAATCCCCCAGATTCCTGCGAGACAATGACCAACACAAAGCAGGGAGGGGGGGTTCTCTCCGTCTCATACCTTGCTGCATATGTCCAGAAATCCTCCCTTTTGAACCAGCAGTTGTTTACGTTTGGCGTAAGAAGACATCTTGTCGGTCAGAGCTCGCAGATGTGTCTTATGTCGCGACAGTTTTTTCTTCTGACTCGGCGTGAGGGGTACGCGCGCTTTTAAAACGTTCAGCGCACATTCGCACAAACAGGTGACGACTTCCTTGTCGGCATGCTTCAGAATGTCCTTTCGTTTCTTGGGCGAAGCTCCGCTCAGAACGCACAGCGCGTAAGCGTTGTCCCTCAACCGTCGCGCCATGCTGACGAATGAGACCGGTGACGTAAAACTGGCCTATTTAGGGACGGATGCAAATGCCATTTCTTCCGGTAAGATGTTGGCTCTCGGTCTGTATTCTTTCGGGCAGTGGGCTTTCAGGTCGATGAACAGGTAGGAATAGGGCTGGCTGGTGGCATTGGCGTAGGCCTCGATCATGAAAGGGGTCTGCCCCGGGTACATCTGCTTGGCCAAATGACAATCTGGGATCGGTCTCTGGGATTTTTGAACAGGACGATGTAGTGACAGTTTAGACTGATGGCCCTGCTCTCTTTCGACTCGTGGAACAAGTTCTGTACGGTGTAAATCACAGACAGGTTGCGGTGGTGGGATCCTGGGTAAATAGTTTAGTAATTTGAGGATCTTTACCGCATTCCTGCATCAAATCGTCCAACACCACTAGATGTCGGTGCGTCGGGTCGATGTGCTTTTACCAATCCTCCGGCAGCCCCTCCACAAACTGAACATCAGGTAGATCGCAAGACAGTTCCTCGTGAGCCTGATACTGACCATAACACCACCGAATTCTCTCAAGAGGCTCCACAAATACATGATGATGATTTGTAATTAATTTACTGACCCACTGAGTCTTGCCGCAGCCCGTCGGTCCCGCTACGCAAAACGTGGAAGGGGTGTTGCAGTTTTGTACCCATGGGGAAAATGACTTCGCGGTTAAGCACGCCGCTTATATATCTAAAGTACGATGACGTCATAACCTAAAACGTTACAACCTAATGACGTCACGGAATTCCTTATAAACGTCACTCACATTCTTTACCGCGTCAAATACGGGTGTAGTCGAAATGACGGAACGAAACAGATCGCTTTCCCAGATACTCGACAATTCAATGCGAAATATAGACGATAAAATAACCAGTAGCACGAGAGGTATAGTTAAGAGCATAAATCGAACTAACGGAGGAGAACATTTACAGAACTGTGTGTTTGCCATGGTGCCTTTGGATCAAATGATCAAATGTGACGGGGGACAGTTAAACCGCTTGTATCCGTAGGGTACGGTATTGAAATCATCCCTTATGACCCTCTTGCTGTACACCACGCGAGTTGGTCAAGATTTCTTTTGTCTTGTCATTTCTGACGATCTTGTGAGGGTCGGATATGGTGATCTTTTCAGGAGTGACCCCTTTGACCATGTCAACCACGGAATCAAAATTGATCCGCTGCGCATTTCTGAAGTTTAAGGTGAAACCCCTGACCTTACAACACGTCTTACCCGTGTCCAGTCTATACGCGTAATTCTTGGGCCCGCCTGACACGAATGTCTCTGTATAATTGCCGTCATGGGGAATGATTTCGTTCGTGAGATCGCCCAGAAAATCGCCTATTAAAAGGAGGTTTGTACTGCCCCGGCCTATCCACGTATATGACGCTGTCGGTATCGCAGTACAAGACGGAATCCTGCAACTGTTCGAGCACGCCGTACAGTTTGAGACGCTCATGCGCCGTGGTAAAGGCGGCAATGACCACGTTTGTTCTGGGATTAGGATCGATAAATTCTTCTTGGGATTCATAGCGAACTTCCGCTATTTCGTGATTGATGAAATTAATATCGTGTACCAGTTTATCAACGGCCAACAAAATTTCGTACGATTTGAAGAGATTGCTCAGTACCTCGACTTTGGGCATATTTAGCCTCTGACTGAACTTTCCCGGAACGAATTGAGCATGAGTTTAGCGAGAGCTCTTAAGCCGGGGTTCTTGGCTATCTTTGGGGCATCTAACCGAATCCCTTCCCGTTCGAAATACCTATCGATGTACTCCGCCTTATCGTTTTCGGTTTTCACCCAACTCGGCCAGCTGGAGGCTGCGACTTTTAGTTTCAAGACGGTGTTAATGTACTCTGTAAACAAACCGCCGGTTGCGTCAGCGTATCGTATTGTTCCATGTGTTCAAAGTGCCACACAACCTCCATCTTTACCACCTTGTACCCCAATTCAATCACCTTTTCCAGTTCAATGGACACCCACGTGCCATGCAGTATTCTCTCTTCAGCCGTATGCCGACAAAGGGTCCGTTGTTGAGTTTCAACGCACTTGCGGCAGATCAAAACCGTCAATTTACCGGGTGGTAAATTGACGTTTTTGCGGGTGCGCGATAAGGCACTAGGAGATGATACACTGGTCGGACGGGGGTAACACGTGACATTTAACGGTATGGGATTTATTGCATATAATCGAGCGTCACACACATGTACACCTATACACAAGGTTATTATCATCCATCCTGTTAATCGTTTGTTATTCTGTGATTAGTTATATTGCGTAAATTTGATTAGATAAACAAATTGCCGTTGTTGATTCATGTTGTTAATTTATAACTGTTAAAGGCCAAACTCTATACATTTAATTTGTGTACTTTTTGTGGACAGATTAAACCGTGTTCAGCGTGTTAAGCATATTCGTGATCATCAGCTCACAATGCAAGTTCATTTTGTGGCCATCCGTCACACTTTCTGCTTTGATATGTCGTTTGACATGCCTATGGGTCAAAAACACTTTGCTGAGGAGGCGCCATGGCAGTAGTGCAGATCAAAGACTCTCTTTCCAGTCGCTCACAAATGATTACGAAGGAGCCTTATGAGCCAAGATACAAAGCTCCCAGAATGTTCAAAGCGCCCTTTGCTCTCCTTCATTTTTGCAATTGATTGTGCGTGTATTTATTTTGTGAATTCTTGCATGAGCAATCACTACTGCGCATTCCCGAATGCCATATAAAAGACTAGAAACGCCGTAAAGCCACGTCTCCCTGTAGGAACATAAGTACGAATTTTCGGGGGTCTCCTCCCCCTTGTCAAGTGCGAATGCATTTCGTGTCGTTGAAGAACAGTCCAACGCATTTTGTTTCCCTCGATGAGCCGTGATACGCGGGACCCCTGGCACGCGTCGATGCGTTTCCAATTTCATGGAAACCAGGTTTTTCCACTGTATTCTTGAGCTTTCTATAGCTGTCCGTCCATTCCTCCTTTCTGTTCATTTCTGGTTTAAGTTCATTAAGGTACGTTGATTCCATTGTTGTCAGAGAATAGCGTCGCCGGGGGCACCTGTTCAATACTTTTACTTGAATTTCACAAGATTGCCCTAGTGCTACTTTTGCATGTGTTCGTGTAATGCCGATGACTTCCCCCCACGTGTTCCTGAATTCTTTCATCAAGTGATCTTTACGTTTCTGCAATGTATCTCTCTTCACATCCTTTGCATGTTAACTGTTTTATCACCCCTCTCTGTTTGCACTGTCATTTTCCACTGTACTATTGGCGCACCGTGCACTCGTCAAGGGGCTTGTCCCCTCGGAATGGATTTGACCTCGTCAGGGTGTCCTTTACTCTACTCCAGACCCTTCCCACAATCATTATCTTAGGGCCCGCTAAGTGAGGAATCACTGTTTTCCGGGTCTTTTGGCCAGAGCACCTCCCTGTGTCGCTTCAACAAACATGACGGCCTCGAACCTGCCCTTCTTAGTGAGCCGTTGGTGTTATTTCTTCTTCTTGTCCAGCTCTCTCTCCTTTGCTCGCCATGTTTTCGGTCGGTACCCTCTCCTGTTCTCCATTATTTTCTCTCCCCGTCGGTTGACCTTCAACTGGCTCCTTCTCTAGGTAGCTACTGAACTGCATTCTGTCCATGTAATGCTGTACATTTATATGCCTAGTTCTTTCTTCCTGCCCTTAGTCCACGTAGATATTCCTCATGACCCCTGTTTAGATTGTTGACCAAAATATCAATCATTCTGTTTTGGCTCACAGCTTTTTTTGTGAATTACGTACTTGCTGGTCATCGGTTTTATGTAGAGACTGGAGGTAATACTCCAGTATTACCCACTTATTAGAACCGTCTCTCTTGCTGTTCAAGGTCATCATCAATTGCCTGTGCGGTTTCACTTTCGATCATACACAGGAAATTACCAACTTTCCGTTCTCATTCAACCCTTGCCTTTTTGCATGATACTTTCTCAATTATAGAGCGTTCATGATATTCCTTACTTAAGCAGAGATATTTCAGGGAATCCTAGCAAAACTTAAAAGAAAGGATTTTAACTCAATGGGATGCAAATGGACTTCTGAGAAATAAGAATTTATGTGACAGATTCTTTTCATCGCGTAACAGGAACAGCACAGGAATAACACTTGATGATCTTAAACCCTCATTAATGTCTTCATCTTATTCCGCGTACAGACATGGACATACAACTCTGTTTTCTTTATCACCATAAATGGAATATTACACTAGCACGGCATTTTTTGGTAATAGCTGGCAACCATGTTAGATCAATCAGACATAGGGTTGGGAAGAAAATGTGGGTGGATGCCACCCTTGATTTTGACCCCAAAGTTCATTTTGAGGTCAAAGGTAAAATTAGGTAGAAAAATATATTGTAATTGACTTTTAAAATGCCTGGTCCCTATTTTGTGGAAAATGACAAGAAAGGTACATGTCAGCTGTAATTAAGATGGGAAAGAAAATTTGGGTGCATCCAACGAATCGAAAGGCATACATTGTAACTGATTTTTTAAAATTAAGTTTGGGGTCTTATTTCCATTTTTTTTCGAAGAAAATATACTTGCACAAAATAAGAAGTACATGCAAGCTATATTTTGAAACAAATAATGAAATAATTGTTGGCATAACTCCCAAAGTATTTTTCCAAACAATTTACTTAAATGTACTTTTCATGGCTTTCGTAGAGTTTAAACCTGGTTTATGATACGCACGTACAATTGTATTACTACGTATAACTGAAGATGCACCTGACAACCAGTGTTAAGAGATTTTCTAGTATGTTTATCTTCAGTTTTTGATGGTACGGTACCGCAAGTGTTTTTCTATAAAAAATAGTACAAAAACGAGCTGCGTCTATTATTTCATTTTAAATGATAGATGGTTTTGACATTTTAGTAAGCAAGATTAGTGGAGCTGAATTGCTATATAAAAATAAAAGAAAGGCACCTACATCATGCACTGGATGTTTGCAAGTAGTCTGTTTATACTCTGCATTGGTTTAATCTTGGCCAGCTGGGTTACAACAGGCACAGGCATCACATCCACAAGCAGGTGTACACCTCATGTTCTGTTTGAAACAAGTGCATCGAGCACTTCTGCACTTCGATTTACATGCACAAGTGACAAGCTCAACACAGGCGTCTGGTATTGGAGAAAGCTTTGTCCAAACAGCTTTTAGGGAGCCTGACTCCAACTTCCAGGCTGAAGCCGCAAACACAGATCTGTTCTTGATCAGCCTGCAACCAGATTTTTGCTTAGTGGTTGGCACGTCTAGCGTGAAGTTCTACCGATCCTTTGTCGGTGGCAGTGCACCAAACCCTACTTCGGCTTTTCCAAAAAGATGGAGTCTAGCTCATGCTAGACTCCATCTTTTTGGAAAAGCCGAAGTAGATCTACTGTTAACTGTTACTGTTATCTACTGTTAACAGCTCTGGAGTGCCATACAAATGACAAACGAAATTCTCAACACCTCCATCACGACCAATTCCGTCAACAAGCTGTGGATGGTTCTGGAAGATTTTCCAGCACGACTTTTCCCGTGCCTGGTGTATGACAAGGTTACATCGCAGCCTGTCAGGGCATGGAAACCCAAAATGTTGTCT